CAAGTCCCTGAAGAGGAATTTGACTACTCTCAAAGAGCACAGTGGCTTCGAGCCGCTGTCTTGGGAGCAAATGATGGATTAGTCTCAATTGCATCCTTGATGATGGGGGTTGGAGCTGTCCAAGAAAACGTTAAAACCATGATTCTTACTGGATCTGCAGGGTCGTTTGCCGGTGCTTGTAGCATGGCTATAGGAGAGTTTGTTTCTGTGTACTCTCAATTAGACATAGAGCGAGCTCAAATGAAGAGAGACAAAGCAACAAGAGGACAGAACCGAGAACATCAAGAAGGTAACAAGGAACAGCTGCCAAATCCATTTCAGGCGGCAGTAGCCTCAAGTGTTGCATTCTCATTAGGTGCCATTGTGCCAATTCTTGCTGCTGCACTGATAGAAAATCATGAGTTGAGGCTTGCAGTGATCGTGGCAGCGGTGAGCTTGGCATTGGTAGCATTTGGAGGAATTGGTTCTTTCTTGGGCAGAAGTCCTATGGTGAAATCTTGTGCCAGAGTTTTAATTGGTGGATGGATGGCTATGGCCATTACCTTCGGCCTTACCAAGTTGATTGGCTCTACTGGATTGGAAATATGATTGAAACTTTATGTTCCTGTCCTGTACCTTGTTCTAATTTAATCTCATCTAATCAAGAAATTTGTACTGCAAGTTGACTTAACGTTTTGTGTAATAATACCGCAAAGCATTCTCTGAATTTAGAGATGTTCCAAGTTTAAAGGGATTCAGAAGGAAATTGTAGAATCTCGAGCACAAACGAGTTGCCTTATGATGATGCAAATAATAAAAGTCCTCCAGAAACAGTGTTTACAACTCTTGAATTATAATTTATTTAAATTAAGCGTCGAATGGAATCATAATTTGGATAGAAGTAGAAGTTCCAAGTTTAAAGGGATTGGGAAGTATTGCCGCTTTATTTGTCTATTCATATTATTCAAATTAAAAGTGTGACATAGAATTATAATTTAGGTAGAAATAGATGTTCCAAGTTTAAAGGGATTAGGAATTAGTACTACCGTAGCTTGAATTCTTTGTCTATTTTTATCAACTCATATTTCTTCCTTCTCACAATCACAGGTAATTTTTATTTTTATTTTTTTCTGAAACGTTTTCAGAGTCACAGGTAATTTATTGCATTCTTTTCTGAAACATGTCGAGATCAAGCAGCATTATTATGTGTGTTTCTGTTGTTGTGTATTTGCATAGGCATTGTTACTGCCAGTGCAACGGAACCCAAAACAGAAAATAGCAAGGAGTTGTTTGGTACTTCTTCTATTTTAGCGTGGCCCCGATGGTGGCGGTATCATCATCATGTACCTTCATTCGGATGGTGGGGGCATCGTTACCCAAAAAAAACCATCACCACCAACTCACCTGGCTCCATCTCCATCTCCAGTTGATAATGCGGTTCCGCCATCCCATATGGCTCCGTCTTTGGCCCCGGCTCCAACCACTTCTTGCATCAAGATGGACCATTGTGTATCAGATTTGATCACTTCTGTTTTCAAGCGTAGAATTTCATTATCCACACAATGCTGCAAAGTTGTTTCAACAATTTCAGATGATTGCTTTTACAGAGGATTCGTGCACTCCAAGAGAGTACCATTTTTCCTAAGCAAAGTCAAGAACTATTGCAGTCATCATCAAGGGTGAATTAAGCACACTCATTACTCTTTTGCTTTTTTGGTCCTTTAGATTTTAGCTTAAGGGGTAATTGGTAGTTAGCAGTAGTATTACTTTTGTTAACTTTTCCTTTTTTTTCTTTAATTAGTTCAATTGGATGTTCATTTCTTATTTATAATCTAATTACTACTTTCCCGTGTATATTTATTTCTCCATATTTTACTTATTCAAGATATGGTGGATATATCAATCAACTATGCCTTGGTCCCAAATAAAGGTGAGGACGGTTATATGAATCTTCTGCAACTATTCCTCTCTATTCGACCCTAACATCCCAACATATTAATTAATTAACAAGAAGACTTATTTGCGTTCTGCAGTCATTTTATACTCCATAATCCTAAAGAAGATTATCACAAGTAATTAATGTTCGTCATTGTGATGAGAAATCTGTTATACTGAGGTATTCATTAAAGGCTTTTATGGCCATTCAAGAATAGACAAATTAGATATGTACTGCAAGGCTTTTAAAGTTACAATGGTCTAAAGAAAGTATCTTTATTTTGGATTATAAAAAAATGATGATTAAATAATTGAAGGGCTTGTGGTCTTTGTGGGAATGGCACAAGTCTTGGTATACTCTGATTTTTTTGTTAAACCTTAGTGCCTAAAGCACACTCCACTTAGTTTTATTTTATATCTCAATTGTAGCAAGTGCTTTTCCTATGCAGCAATACATCCTCACAAGCTCCTTCTCCAAAGGGATCAAAAAGCCATCTGAATCCTCTTAACTTTCAAATTAGGTCATTTTGAGGTACACAGTGCACACACAAAGAAGAAGAAAAAAAGAAAAGTAGCATTTCAGTGGTTTATAAAGGCATTTTAAAAGTTTGATATTATATGGTAAGTAACTTATTTAAAACTCTTGACTTACAAATGAAGTTATAACTCTATAAATAACAAAGACAAGAGTCTTCATTGAACATCAATCCAAAAAGAAAACAATCCTTCATTAGCTGACATTTCCTTACAAGTTATAACTTTTCATCATGGCTGCTCAAAACCATGTCCAAATTACCATTCCTAAAGAAAATCAATCCTCTGAAGAGGATTTTGACTACTCTCAAAGAGCACAATGGCTTCGAGCCGCTGTGTTAGGAGCAAATGATGGATTAGTCTCAGTTGCATCCTTGATGATGGGGGTTGGAGCTGTTCAAGAAAACGTTAAAACCATGATTATTACTGGCTTTGCAGGTTTGTTTGCTGGTGCTTGTAGCATGGCTATAGGAGAGTTTGTCTCTGTGTACTCCCAACTAGACATAGAGCGAGCTCAAATGAAGAGAGATAAAGCAACAGGAGGACAGAACCGAGAACATGAAGAAGGTAACAAGGAACAGATGCCAAATCCATTTCAGGCAGCAGGAGCCTCGAGTATTGCATTCTCATTGGGTGCCATTGTGCCAATTCTTGCTGCTGCATTCATAGCAAATCATAAGGTGAGGCTTGCTGTGATCGTGGCAGCGGTGAGCTTGGCATTGGTAGCATTTGGAGTAATTGGTGCTTTCTTGGGCAGAAGTCCTATGGTGAAATCTTGTTCCAGAGTTTTAATTGGTGGATGGATGGCTATGGCCATTACATTTGGCCTTACTAAGCTGATTGGCTCTACTGGATTGGAAATATGATTGCAACTTTATGTACCTGAATCCTGACCTGTCTCTTGTTCTACTTTAATCTCATGTAATCAAGAAATTTGTATTGCAAGTTGACTAAACCTATTGTGCTATAATACCGCGAAGCATTCTCTGAACTTACATTGATCTTCCTACTGATAATATTAGCTACATCACACAACCTTTTACTTATTCATAACAGACTCATCAAACTACACTCCATTCTCAAATATAGTTAGGATTGACTATATGAATCTTTCTGGTAGTACTCTGTGTCAATCATGACAAACGTCCCAACAAAATCACTAATAAGACAATTCCTCCTGATTTGATCATCTGTACGCTAGCTGTCCACTTACCTCAACACACTTCACTATGCTCCTAGAACCTCGCTGGAGTTAACGTTTCATCAAAGCATATGTCAGTAAGAGTAAAGCTTATTTCAATAAGAGAATAATACAGAAAGTAAAGGACTAGAGAAGAGGATTGTGTGCATTGAAGGAAAAAACTCGATAATTTAGCTTTCCACGTAAATCAACTTTGAGACATAAATAATATGCCTATGATTTAGCATTTAGATCTATTAAAGTATTTCAAAACTTTTGAAGTACAGTTCTCCAAAACACTGCAGTAAAACTGTAATATATATATATCATGAGGTTCACTGAAGTACATAAAATACACTGAACTTAAGTTCTGTGCATTGACGGTATATGGAACTTTTTCATTTTACACTCTCAATATTTATAACTCAAATCCAAAATACAATGAAAAAAAAAAAGAAGACTTTCTCTTGTATGCAACGAGTTACGGCCTTCAAGGCTTCAACCATGTGAGAATTGGAACTCTTCTATTTTTACATTTCCAAAAGCCTTCCACATAGTTCTGTTTGATAGAAGAAACATTGAAGAAACATTGTGAGGATGGTCTAAAGAGAAAACTCCACCTTCATTCAAGATCATATAAGACAAAAAAAATATAAAAAAATTAAGAGGTTGTGGCCTTTGTGTGAATGGCACACTTATTAGTATACTCTAATATTTTGAGCTTTTAGTGCCCAAAGCACACAGCACCCAAGTTTATATTTGCTAGAAATATCTCCCATATCTCTGTTCAAATAAGTGCTTTCCTACACTGCAATGCATCCCAACAAGCTCCTTTTGCGAAGGTCAAAATACCATCGTTTTGAAGTACAAAAAAAAAGGTAATAAGGAATCAGCAAGCAAAGTTATCTATCTGTATTATGTGATATCTTTCAAGAACATGTAAAATGTAATATCCAATACTTACTATCAATAGAAAAGGGTTATATCTTACAAGACTTAAATAGAAAGAAGAGGAAACAGATAATATTTAGAAACTCCTTCTTTCAACAGATTACTATCCCAATCTTCCGGGAATTGATAGCACAAAGTAGTAATGTGTAAGGGATGAAAGAGCACATTTATTTTACAATGTGAAGTGTGTGTCTGTGTGTTTTGGGGGGGGGGGGGGGGAGGGGGGACACGAACAAATGCAAGATTTGAGCAAGCAGACAATCAGTGAAGAAAGCAATAAATCCCACTAAGCCCTGTGCTCTCCACACTACACAATATTTAATGGCACCACTGATGGAATGGTTTAGTTACTTTTTTAATCATCCTACTCTATAAATAGTGCTTACCGAGTCTTCATACAACACCCATCTTTAAGAAAGAATTTCTTCTAACTAACAAGGACTTATAACTTACTCAATGGCTGCTCAAAACCAAGTCCACATTACCATTCCTAAAGACCATAATGGCAAGAAGCAAGTCCCCGAGGATAATTTTGACTACTCTCAAAGAGCACAGTGGGTTAGAGCTGCTGTTCTAGGAGTCAATGATGGATTAGTCTCAATTGCATCCTTGATGATGGGTGTTGGAGCTGTCCAAAAAGACGTAAAGGCCATGATACTTATTGGCTTTGCAGGTCTATTTGCCGGTGCTTGTAGCATGGCCATAGGAGAGTTTGTCTCTGTGTATTCTCAATTAGACATAGAGCGAGCTCAAATGAAGAGAGACAGAGCAGCAGGAGGACAGAATCAAGAACATGAAGAAGGTAACAAGGAACAACTGCCAAATCCATTTCAGGCAGCTGTAGCCTCGGCTGTTGCATTTTCATTGGGTGCCATTGTTCCAATTATTGCTGCTGCATTTATAGCAAACCATAAGGTGAGGCTGGTTGTGATTGTGGCTGCAGTGAGCTTGGCATTGTTAGCATTTGGAGTAATTGGTGCTTTCTTGGGCAGAAGTCCTATGGTGAAATCTTGTGCCAGAGTTTTAATTGGTGGATGGATGGCTATGGCCATTACCTTTGGCCTTACCAAGCTAATTGGCTCTAGCACTGGCATGGAGTTGTGACTGGACCTTTTATCTAGTTCAGAATCATCTTCTTAAGAAGTCGTTGTTGCATCATGCATGTCCAATAAAATTTCATTTTCTGTAATGATTCTGGAGTAAATGCTTAAAAAATTGTATTGAAGTGTTGGCTATTTATATATATCCATTTCACTACCGTAAAGACTAGCTATAACAAACAATGTTTTACTTCGTTATGATATGCTGGGCATAATCAACTGCAATAAACTAATGTTTCGTCAAAGTGCTGATCAATAAACAAGAACAACGCTTCAATTCCAAATAATGTTGGGGTAAGGCTATATCAGCTATTCTAAAGACATTCTTCTCTATTCAGGCCTGACTTCTCAATGAACAATTAATAAGAGGACTCAACTTGACTAGTTGTACACTGGTCATTAACTAATGGCAACCCTTCTTTTCTAGGACTAAAGATTGGCTATAGATGGAGTTAACACTTAATTGATCATACTAATGCACGGCAATTAAGAGAACAAAAGAAAGGATAATCATCCTTGGCCAATTTCAAGATTGTGTGCAACAGAAAATTGAAGATAAAAGCTTGTTAGCTTTCCACATAAATCAAAATTTAGAAAAATAAATAATAATACACCAAGTATTTTGACGCTTGAAATCTATACTAGTCTTTCATACATTAAGAAGTATGTTTTTGTCCAAATCAAAACAGTCCCAATAGAGCCTGACAGATCTTTTGACTGGATCTTAATCTTTTACTTGATTAATTCTATGTGACAAGCTAGAAATAAACTACTATCCGGCCAAGACTTGTTTGCTAAACCCCTCGAGACATACAATGATGGCACGACCTGATTCCTCACATTGCAATGGCTTGAATTATGCTGCCTTCTTATGCCCCATAATCCTACTTAGACTGTAACTAGCTAGTAGTTATTCTATTGTATTTATGATGAGAAATCTGTTATATCATGAGGTTCATTGAACACGGGAATTTAAGTTCCGTGCATTGAAATTGTATAAAAAATTTATGTTATCTAACAACTCTTAATAGCAAGTCTGATTATGGTATATTAGACTATAGAATAATAACTTGCTATAATCAGTTCAACTGCACTGATAGTGTAAACTAACTTATATTGTCACAATGTGTAATTTAAAGCAAAAACACAATGCTACAGACTTTTCTCTTTTATGAAATGAGTTTCGACCTTCAACCATGTGAAAATTTGAACTTTCTAGTTTCACATTTCTAAGACCTCCACATATCTCAATCGTCCAATTTCGAGATGGTCTAAAAACCTGTTAGACGTAGGACAGATATCTGTTTGATAAAGAAACAGTGCAGAAACATCATGAAGATGATATTTCTTAGTGGATTTAGAGTTTATGGCCTAAAGATAGTAACTTCCACTTCATTGTGGATCAAAAAAGATATAAAAATTAAGAGCTTGTGGCCTTTCTGTTATGGCACACTTCTTGGTATACTCTAATATTTTGCTTTAACCTTTAGTGTCCAAAGCACACTGCACCCAAAATTATATAATCCAAAAAAATATCACCCATATCTCTGTTCAATCAAGTGCTTTCCTATACAGCAATGTGTCCTCATTAGGTCATTTGAAGTAAACACAGAAAACAAAAAGAAGTACTCAGCTAATACTTATGACATTGATCGTTTTAAAAGGCATTTTGAATATTTGAGAAATGAATTTTGGATTCTTTTTGACAGATTTCACTTTTTTTCTGAATAAATGAAAGGAAGAGACTTCATAAAACAGGCAATCAGCAAGCATAGTTATATGTATTATGTTAAAGTTTATAATTCCGTTTCATTACATATAAGAACGACAGTATGTGATTTCTTTCATGAACGTGCAGAATCTAATAAACAATACCATTAAGAGAAAACGGAAAAACACCCAAAAAAGAATTTAATAGACTGACTGCAGTACATCTGTTATATGAGGTAGGTGTTCTGTTAGTGGATAAATTTGGTCAAAGTAAGAATCTTTCTTAAAACTCTTCATTAAAAAATGAAGAGCTTGTGGCCTTTCTATGGATGGCACACTCCCTGGAATACTATAATCTTTGCCTTGTCAGCCTTAGAGTGGAGAGCACACTCCACCCGATTTTTATATACCAAATAAAATATGTCCCGTATCTCTAGAGATTCATGCATGCAAGTGCTTACCTATACAGCATTCCATATTCACAAGCCACCTTTTAGGAATTGTCACTGGAAATGAGATTTTACCTGAAAAACGGTGAATCAAAAGCAAATATTAAAATCATAGATTCATTTTGCAACGTTAGAGTTTGTTAGTAAACAAATGCAAGTTTTAGCAAGCACATAATCAGAAAAGAAAAGAGAACAAATGCAAACTGACTTGTACTCACCTCACTACTATTATTTTATGGCACCACTTTCTGCTCAGGCTGATTATTTATTAGTCATCCTGATCTATATATAACCATCATAGGGAGGATTCGAACTTCAAAAACAAGAAGTCCTAAACAACAAATCATCCTTTTTCTAAACAATTCCTTAGAACATTCTTCATGGCTTCTCAAAACCATGTTCAACTCACTGTCATTAAAGAAAATGATAACCAAAACAGAAACCAAGTACCTGAAGAAGACTCTGACTACTTCCAAAGAGCACAATGGCTTCGAGCTGCTACATTAGGAGCCACTGATGGATTGGTTACAACTGCATCATTGATGATGGGTGTTGGAGCTGTCAAGAAGGACGTTGATGCCATGATCCTAATCGGCTTTGCAGCATTGTTTGCGGGTGCTTGTAGCATGGCCATAGGAGAGTTTGTTTCGGTGTACTCTCAACTAGATATAGAGTTGGCTCAAATTAAGAGAGAGACCAAAACAAGAGGACAGAATCATGAACAGCAAGAAGAAGAAGACAAGAAGGAGGGACTCCCAAATCCATTTCTGGCAGCCGTAGCTTCAGCTGTTGCATTTTCATTGGGTGGCATAATACCAATTCTTGCTGCTGGATTTATATCTAACCATAAGGTGAGGATGGGAGTGGTGGTGGCGGCAGTGAGCTTGGCGTTGTTTGTATTTGGAGGGGTTGGTGCTGTTCTTGGGAAAAGTCCTGCAGTAAGGTCTTGTGCCAGAGTTTTAATTGGTGGCTGGATGGCTATGGGCATTACCTTCGGACTTACAAAGCTGATCGGCTCTGCTGGAATGGAGATGTGATCGGAATGTTATGTTTCTGTGTCCCTATTTCCAGTCCAGAATCATCTCTTTTAACAAATGTCTGTTGTGTTCCTTACTTCCAGGATAAGAATAGAATAAATGGAAGATATCTCTCTGTAATAGTTCTGTCATGAATGAATGAATGATCCAGACTTGTTTTCTGAAATTTATATACTTGTAATCTTTGCTTCTTCAATATGTTTGACATCATCAAATCTTTATTGAACTCTTTGGTAACAGACTTGCAGTCCATGGTGAAGTAACATACTACTTATGAAGAGTTTTTATCAAGTTTGAACCATGTCCTTTATTTACTAGATGAGGCATTATCAAGACCTGTCATAATCTAACAATTCAATATATATAAATTTGAAAGTACCCTCCTCCAGAAGCCCCAAAATCCCAAATATCGTCTCACCACTTGATGAGGAATGTATTGAGGGTGCAAGCTAGGAATGTTGGCAAACACCAAGCTGTTTTATTGAAAACCCAAGTCCTCTTATAACGTTGCAATTCAGGTTCTGTATTACTCTTTTGGCTCCTAGACTGTCCTCAACCATCCTATTTTGTAAGACCTGCTTCGATTGAAATGTTTAAATTCTCAAAACAATCCTGTTTCATAAGTAACTCCATAAATCTAAGTAGTCAAATCTTGAATTAGCCTAAGGGTTTGATAAAAATCTCTGTCAAATAGAAGGAATGGTGTTAAAACACTGTGATCTTCTAGTCAATGAGTTAAGACTCTTTTTCTTCCTCCTTCAGTGTCATTATGTGGATTGCACACTTGCTGGAATAACTTAATGTTTTGCTTTCTTAGGAGAGCATACTCCACACTATAATACAATAAGAAAGTATAATATATGACTCATATCTGTGTCATGGAAGTGCTTTCCTGTACAGCAATCCTTACACTATTTACTACAAACGTCTCTTTCCATAAGTCACAAAGTGTTCAGTACTCAGTATTATATGTCTTTCATCTCGGTGTACAGAATAAAAGTAAATGTATTTGTAGGATAGATACAGAGACATTATTGTATACTTCAACATGTTTCTGGAAAATATGATTTTATCACCAGAAAACGCTGAGCAAAGGATCAAGAGGCAAGCATGAAAATATGTCACTGCTTTCTGAATAAGCAAATGCATGCCCTAAGCTATCTGTATAATATGCTGAAGTACCTTATCACATGACATATGAGAACCATGTTGTGTGCTATTTCATTCAATTACATGAAAACTGTCATTACCAATACCATAAAGAAAAAAATGGGTAAATCATAGAAGAATTAAAATAAACTATCTGCAGGACATCTACTATAGTGTTACATGACCAAAGTGTTCAATTAGTGGATTCATAAAGTTTCTTTGGTCTAAAGTGACTTTATTAAAACTCTGGAATTAAGAAAATGTAGAGCTTGTGGCCTTTATATGATGGCACACTCCCTGGAATACTATAATCTTTGCCTTAGTATGTGGAGAGCACACTCCACCATATTTTTATATACCAAAGAAAGTATGTCCTTTAGCTAAGTGTTTTCCTATACAGCATCCATTTTAACAAGCCCCTCATGAATTCATTTCAGGATTCATAACAGATTGTAGCCTCTAGCTCTCAATGTATGTTTTGACACTTGAAAGAGCACCGTCATCGTGAAATACTGAAAAATATAGAAGTATTTGAATAGGTAATTTGCAAGATAGTGATCCTAACTTAGCCCATCCTTTCAGAACTGTCACTAGACATAAGGTTTCACAACAAGAAAAGAGAACATTAAAATTGCAGATTCATTTTGCAAAAAGTGGGAGATGTGTTAATAAAAAAAAGCAAAGGTTTTAGCAAAGCATGCAATTAGCAAAAAGAGATGAAATAAAAAATTAAGTGCCACCAGGCCTTCTGCTCACCACACTACAATTTTTTTAATGGCACCACTTTCTGCTGAGGCTGATGAATATTTAAGTCATCCTGCCCTTTATATACCATCAGAGGGAAGATTAAATCTTCATAAACAAGAATTCCTTCACTTTCTCAAAACATTTCCTTACAAAATTTCTTCATGGCTGCTCAAAACCATATCCAAATTACCATCCCTAAAGAACAAGACAACCAAAACCAAGCACCTGAAGAGGATTTTGACTACCCCCAAAGGTCACAATGGCTTCGAGCCGCTGTGTTAGGAGCCAATGATGGATTGATTTCAACTGCATGTTTGATGCTGGGTGTTGGAGCTGTTCAAAAGGACGTCAACGCCATGATCCTTACCGGCTTTGCATGGTTGTTTGTTGGTGCTTGTAGCATGGCCATAGGAGAGTTTGTATCTGTTTACTCTCATGTACAGCAAGAAGAAGATGTAGGACACACAAATCCATTTCTGGCAGCCATAGCCTCAGCTGTTGCATTTTCATTAGGGGGCTTAATACCAATTCTTGCTGCTGAATTCATATCTAACCATAAGCTGAGGCTAGTTCTGATTGTGGTTGCAGTGATCTTGGGCATTGTTAGCATTTGGATGAATTGGAGCTTTTTTAGGCAGAAGTCCTATGGTGAAATCTTGTGCAAGAGTTTCAATTGGTGGTTGAATGGCTATGGCCATTACCTTTTGGCTGACCAAACTGATAGGCTCTACTGGCATGGGGATGTGTTTGGAAATTTTTATTCATGTCCATTTACCTAGTTCAGAATCATCTTGTGTTGCACAGTTGAATAAATTTCATGGATAATATTCTAGCATTCATACAACCCAAATTTTGTCAGCTCCCTTGCCTTTTAATTTCAGATCCTATTGGCTACCACTCTTTGTTCAAAACCTTATTCTTATTGCCATTAGTCATTAGAATATGATAAACTACAGAACAGGAATAGGCAAAAGATAAAATGTTCTAAAGTGGCTTACAACTATTTATGCATCATTTTAACAGGGAAAATGATAAAAACTGTTTCACCATGCTATCATTTTCAGGGACTGTCGCTTTAGAATAATACAAATTGCACGTATTTTTCAATTGCTTAAAAACACAAAACGAACAAGAAACAGACACAAAACTTGAACCAAGTTTAACAAAGATAAAATTGCTCTGCTTGGAATATTAAGTTTAACAAGAAAATGAACCAAGTGATTCCAACATCTGATTCAAAATTGCAACAACCACCTAGTCCAAGATGGCAGGAACCTAAGAGAAGCTCGACCACCAACATGGAATGAAAATTTACATTCCATCATTACTTGATAAAATTATGCAAATCAAGAAAAGAAACACAATCTTTCTTGATTCTTGGTTGTTTAGCTAAAGACAGACTCAAAAAGGTAAGCAAGAACACAAGTATACTAAAGAGATGTGTTGTACAACTACTATCAACAGTATTCAGCATGGAGAACTAATGGAGGAGAGGAGAGCAACAAGGACACTAACAGAGAGAGAAAATAAAGAAGGTCCAGTAGCCCTGTAACCGCCACACTCAGTGGTTCCTTGGAGTAGCAATAAAGACTTCCTCTCTGCTGCTTGCATCTTCCCAAAATAAAATAACTTTGGTGCACTACATTTTTAATCAAAGTAAAAATATGAATGTTGGATCAAATTTATACTGCATAAAGGTGGATGATTTCTTTCATGATTTTGGATTCAAGAAAATGGGTCATCACGGTTTAAGGATTCTACACTCTCTCTTCGTCATCACCTTCATTCTGGTATCTTTCGTCGATGTACACATTATGGTGTTAGTGATGTCTCATTGAATGCTGCAAAGTACTTGAATAGCATTCATGGATTTTAAAGTGTTACATTATTAGGATAGATATGGGAAAGGCAAAGGAAGTCCAATTAGGAAGATCTCTGCAGGAAAGTAAATCTTGATTGTGCACTGAGGAGATTCAGCCAAAGAAATGGTGATTTTTTTTTGCATATTTTTCAGTATCGCCTTCTCCATCACCATCAATTGCCACTTAAGCTCAGGCTCCTTCTCCGGTTCCATCAATTCATCGACACTCCCATCACCATACCTTTATCCCAGCTTCCCACAGCGTAAGGCAGAAAAGAAGAGGAAGTACTACACAATCCAATTAGATATGACTACCTGCTGGCCCAGGTATTTGATCACCAGTACTAAATTCAGGTAATTCATCAGACCCATCAATCACAAGGCAAAGTTTCAGAGGTGCTATTCCATGCAAGAAATCATTATGAATCCAGCACCAAACAACAGTTTTCAAATGGCATTCGAAAGAGTGAGGCCATATTCAAATTTGCAAAGTAAGCAAAGCATAAGATTCCAATCAAACCATGTTATCGAACATTTACGGACATAGAACAGTAGTTTATAACAGCCAGGTTTCATGAGCTCAAATGATTCCGCTGACAGGCCAGGGAAACAAGGCACCAAGTAGACATACACCAAAACATCTGCATCCAGCTAGTAGGACTTTTGACTCTTCGGCTGCACCAGAAAGAATCAAAATTTAATCAGCTCCCAAGTAAGAGATACTGTGAACATCAGATCCGAAACTCAAAAAATCTAAAAACCTACCACAATTTAAAGTATCAGCTTCGATAGCCTCCAGAACTGCGACGATCATATGGCCCAGAACGATCACGGTTAAAACGTTCACCTCCTTCACGACCACCACCATCTCTGCTGCTGCGGCTTCCATATCGATCTCCGTTCCTGTCAGGTCCACCTCCACCACCATACCGACCACCCCTACCCCCTTCACTAGGGCATTCTCTGGCAAAGTGTCCTGGCTTACCACAATTATAGCAATCTCCACCACCACCACCACCACCACCAGATCCCCGACCACCACCATAATCACGGCTACCCCGATCACGATCGCGGTCACGACCCCGATCTCGGTCACGGTCACGGGGTCGATCACTATCAAAATCTCTACCTGAACCTTGCTGAGGCTGGGCTTTGTCTACAGTAATAGCACGGCCGTCTAAGTCCATTCCATTCATTGCTTCAATGGCATCTTCCATTGCTCTCTTCTCATCAAATGTGACAAAACCAAATCCACGAGATCGGCCAGAGAACTTGTCAAGTACAACCTTTACCAAAAAGTTAAGAGGCATTGGAACATTGCAATTTAACATCCAGATAAGGAAAAGAGAAAGTGGGAAAAAAAATAAGAAAAAGAGAAGAAACTGTGGTAGACAACTACTATTTTAACACCACTCATAGTAGACTTCATAGTTCATAACACCAGAAAACTTCTACTGAATAAAAAAAGTTTGACAAGAAGAACTCAGATTCTCGTTTGTTCTTGCATCCACACTAAAATTTGATATATGTCTGTGTAGTACCTTAAGCTACAATCTACATTTTCCTAAATTAACTATTTCTTTCTTATGAATTTTAAGGTTTTCATTCTGGCTTTTGAAAGAAAGCTCTATGAAAGTTCCAGAATTGCAGAACTTTAAATTGGCTAGCAGGAAGACCAAAACCTTTTACATAATCCTTTGACAATGTATGTGTCCATGGGAAGAAGACACTGATTTACCTTCACTTTACTCATTAGAAGTTGTGAGTGAGGTCAGAACTGAGGAGTACAATGATATCAGTACAAAGGCATGTTATAGCATTCAAAGCGCAAGAGTAAGATTTTATTTTTATTTTTTTGGGTAAGTTGAAAGATCTTATTTACCAACAGAACTATGTAGAGAGTTTTTAACACTGATTTGGACAGGTCCGAAATTCAGGCTCAGCGAACTTCCTTCAAACACTACAACTATAGTTACTCAACGAAAAACGCAACAAACTAACCAAAAAAATTCAACTTTTACATAATTCCTCTTAGCTAGAGTAAGAAATTACTCAGAAGATTTGAATTGTTCACCCTAAGAGGTCAAAATAGGTACATTAACAGGCATGTAGAAGGGAGATAGTATGAAAGTGGTCAAAACCCTCATCCCTCCTTGAAACGAAAGGAATTCACAAGTAAGAATGGTCAAATTCTAGTCAAATCAATGGGGTGAAATCCTGAACAACAAACTCTTGACACAAATGATTAGCCCAGCAGCAATACAGAAAAAACAACAAAGAAGAAGAAGAAAAGAGAAGCAAAAGAAAAACCATGCTCTGACAAATTGAACAATTGGAAAACAACCTAAAAAATAAACCATCCTCACCTTTGCATCAACAAGATGGCCAAACTTCTCAAACGCGTCTTTTAATCCTCGATCAGAAGTCGACCAGGACAAGTTACCAATAAAACAGCGATATTCATCCTCGTCCGACATTTCTGAAACGGATTGCTTCTACTGACAAAAAGGGCAGAAAAAGAGAGATTGGGGAGGAAATAGAGAGGAGAAGTCAAGCCAAGAGCCACAACAGGTACACAGAAATATTAACTCAGTTATGATAATCGGGCCTGCTTATGTGGATTACAATACTAGATCCCTTTTTTTCACCCCAGACAAAAGTAGGCTTAGACAAACAAGTAAAGAGCTCTAAATAATCATCAACAACAAAGGAGAAAATACAATTCCATGGGACAAATCTTGAACAACAGAGACTGCAAGTTACTATTTTTAGGTTTTATCAAAAAGGATTATCACAACATCATACTCCTCTACGCAGTCTCTTGAATAATAATATACTGCATTTTGTTACAAAATTGTTGGGTTTCAACAATTAGTTTCTGTGTTCTAATTGTGATTTCATAACAACATAATGAGAACTTGAAAAGTTACCCTGAGATAATACATAAAGGGACAAAAATACATGAAAGCATAAGCTCAACAAAGAAAGAGCATCAACCAACAAAATCATTATGTAAAGCCTACTATATGGCAGACACCAAAAATCAAATGACCATCCTTCCTATGCGTGGGACATGGATAAATGTTTCTAAATTTGTACAGAATAATCATATGCAACACAAGCCCACAGTCTCAATCTATCACCTCTAACTCATTTAAAATTATCCCATCAGCTTTGACTACTTTTAACTATTTAGCATACTCTCACCACCCCCATTCACCCACATTAAATAGTGCACTACACAAAAATAGCCAAAAATATATGACATCAAAAGAAAAAAAATATTTGAGTCCTTCTTACACATTAATCAAGATGTGAATTCTTGATTCTTCTTGAAAAACGGCATTCAGTGATTATAAAATAAAAATCATTATCTTTTATCAGCCGATAAAGTACAAATTGAAACACAAACTGTAGAGGGAATTGCTTCAAGAAAAGAAAATGGGCAAGTCAATTTCACAATTTTATGAAAACCCAAATCACCAACTGCCCTAATTAACTATTTAGTATACTCTCACCCGCACAGCACAAAAATAGCTAAAAATATATAACATCAAGATAAGAAAAATATTTGAGTCCTTCTTCAACACTAACCAAGAAGTGGATTCTTTATACTTCTTGAAAAACCGCATCCAGTGATTATTCAAGAAAATTCATTATCTTTTATTTGCCGACAAAGTACAACTAGAAACACAAACAGTAGAGAGAATTGTTTCAAGAAAAGAACATGGGCAAGTAAATTTCAAAATTTTATGAAAATCCAAATCACCAATTGCCCTAATTAACCATTAAAGCTTCAAGATTCCCCCAAAATAAACTAGATCTTCGAGACAGACCGTAAAAGAAAACATAAAGTAAGAAACAAAATTGCAGGTAATAGAGACTGTAATCAACAGTACCTTAGAAGATTGAAGAGAAAAGTGAGAGAGCGGCGACGATATGCAGAGATGGAGAAAAGTTTTGGTAGCGTTTTACTCAAAAGAAGAAACGAAACCCAATCTTGAAGAATCGGGTCGGTCACTCTGTTCTGTTCTTAAACCCTAATTTTATTTTACTGTAGGCAACCCTACTTTATATAGCCTCGTAATGTCCGGTACTTGTGATTTTGGGACAAAGTAATACTTACACAAATGTTTATTAATGTAATTAACCCACGAAAATATGAGGTGAAAAACGATAGGTGTTTAATCATAGAATTTGGAACTTTAATTTCAAGATTGATTTGAAATGAAAGTTTGTTTACAAAATTCGTATTAAATTTAATTTGAATTTTTTTTAATAACGAATAACTAGTTATTATTATTATTAATTTGTTAAATCAGTGAATTTTGTAAATTTGCATGCATATATTTAAAAGTTTGTAATAACATGCGATCATAAATATTTATTTATAAAAAAATGTGATTTATTAATTTGTGTCTAAGAATATTTCGATACCTTATTTATGAAGTATGTTTTGCTCATTTTATATGGTTATATAAGAGTTGAAGAAATTTTAATAGTTTTCACAAATTGTGAGGCATTCATGTTTATATGATAATAAAATATAACTGAATAAATTCAAATTATATATATAAGTAAAACTTCAACTTCAAATTAAGATTTAAAATTGTGTTCTTTAGACACCATTATGTAGTTATTAAGTTGTGTGATTAAACACAGAAGACTAAATTCATATACTTGTTTGTTTGTCGCAAAATAAGAGTTTGCTTGGATTGACTTTTGATTTTTGCTTATAAGTCAATAGTTGTAGATTAAAAAAATAAAAAATATAAATTTATATGGGCTAGCTCGTTGGGTCGGCCTGGCCTAACCGTAAATTAGCAATGCTGAGCTAAAAATTTTGAAATCCATTTAAGAAAAAGACATTTTAGTTCGGTCCGCATAAATTTGTTGTTTATGAGGCTGACTCATGGGCTAAATAAAAAATAGAACGGAATATTAAAAGTAACAAAAATCCAAACTCAAAATCTATTTAAAGTTTTAAATATTAAAATTTAGAATCATCAAACGTGATGTACTTAGTATTTCTGTTACTAATATAACATCAAAATAATCATTTAGCACTGGTGGACTTGTTCTCACCAAGTAAAAAAGTTGCATTGATCATGAAAATATTCAAACATTTGTTGCTACTCGAAATTGATTGCATGATTTTTCTTATATTGATAATATTTTTTTGTGAACCTGTACATATTATACATAGTTTTTAAATTTAGTTATTTTTTAATGTTTAACTAATTAATATTGCATATAAACTGTAGATAAAATTGAATATTAAGATAACCTTGCCACAAGTGAATTCATATGTGCTTGACGAAGATGATATGTTAGTGTTGGATACACCATAAGTTTCATGAATTTTTGTAAGTATAGTTAATTTTTCACTTTTTAATGGTTGACATATTTTCATTTTTTTTTTGTGTGTTTTATTGAGATTATTGGAAAATAATTAGGTAAATATTTTTATTTAGCTAGTTATACTTTTACTTGACGTCAAACTTAATAAGTATTATAAATTTTTTTTTTGTGGATTTGATTAACAAGTATTAACCTAACACCATGTAATATTGTTGTATCGATACTTATGTTAATATTTTTAAATTGTAATTTATTTTAAAAATTATAATATATATATATATAAATATATATATATATTTATTTATTTATTTATTATTTTTTTTAAAAAAAGTGGGTTGACCGGTCATGACTGCAACTCACGTACGATTGGGCTGATTGTTTTCTGTCCACAAAAATGGGTCAGCCCAACTTGACCCGTCAAATTTCAAAGTTTGTATGAACTGACTTAGATGACCAGATGGGGTGGGCTAACACATATTGACAACTTTACTAATTATTTGACTTAAATTTATCATTTTAGTTTTAAATCAAATTTTTATAAGTATTTCTTTATTTATCCGAATGTTAAAGTGTGTTAAAATTTATTTTATCTTAAAAATAATTTAAATAAGTCAATTCAAATAGACTCTCGGTAAAATAGATCTTGCTACACTTCATTGGGAAATATTCGTTAGTCGAACTCGTCCGTCTTATTGATTTGTAGACCAATTAAGGAAAGTAAAATGTTCAATACTGAAATACATGTAATATGTTTTCTTCTGTATCTTAATAATCTTATAACCAAATCTAATAAAATGACCAAGTTCTTATATGATTCAACCGAGTAATAAATTGGAGTGGAAAATCACAAAAAAATTGTTTCAAACTTGCGAATATTATTGTAAAAACATAAAATTTAATGTAAGGATAAAATAAATTAGACATGGAATATATTAATGTAACCAAAACTAGGGGTGTTCACGGGTCGGTTATTGGTCAAAACCAAAACCAAACCAACTTAATTGGTTTTAAAATTATCAAAGCCAAACCAAACCAAATATAGTATATGTTTATCGGTTTGGTTCTTATCGGTTTCGGTTCGATTTGGTTCGGTTATTCGGTTATTAACCATAAACAAAAATAAAAAAATAATTCATTCAAAGCGTTAAAAAAATGACAACAATTTATTTAAAACGAAAATAGTTAGAATGACTGACATTACATAACTTTCCATCATTGAATTTACTATGAATAAAGTTTCCAATTTCATTATTTTGGCTTAGAAGAAAGAGACATTGATATTTTCAATCTTATAAATAATTGTCATAGACACACTCATATACATAAAACCAATAAGATAAATATTCTCACCTTGGGCATTTTTTCTTTCATAAGTAAATTATAAATAAATTTTGATGAAAACACTTATAAGATCTTTAAAGTTGTTAATAAAAATAATATATTATGTATGTATACCAATAAAATATATGTATATAACTTGTCGGTTTGGTTTGGTTCGGTTATTTCTTCGGTTTTTTCGAACAAAATCATAACCAACCCATATACTATCGGTTTTTAAAAATTTAAAACCAAACCACACCTAACCCAAATAAAAATCGGTTTATTTAATCGGTTTGGTTCAGTTTTTCGGTTTGGATCGGTTTTTATCCAAACCGTGAACACCCCTAACCAAAACTAAACATAAAATTAATTAACATGGAAAATATTAGGGGAAAAGGTCTGAAATATATCCAAACTTTGACCGAAATTGTTGTAACAATACCGAACTTTGAAAAAGACATTTTACCCCCTGCACTATTTAATAGTGTCTTTTAAAGGTATATATGTGACCACGTGGACATCATAAATATTGCATCATTATAAATAGTAATGTGTCCACATGGGCAAATATATACCTTTAAAATACACTATTAGTCCTCCATAAAGTTTGGTATCGTAACATCAATTTTGGCCAAAGTTGAAGTATTTTTCAGACCCTTTTCCCTAAAAATGTAACCAAAACTAAGATGAATATAGAAAATATTACCGTAAACATAAAATTTTGTTATAAACTCTCAAAATTTATTATGTGTCTTTAAGAAATTTATTTTCTTTACTGTTGTCCAAATTTTTTTAGTAATTATTATAGAACAGATTAAACTGTTCGATAATAACAACGATACTTTAAATTATAAATTTCACCAAACTCAATAAACGGATCAAATCACACTTGCACTTAGTTTTATTTTCAAAAGTAATATATGGCATGGGATGATGAGGAGAAGAAAGAGAAAAAAATCTTTGTATTAAATTTGAAACAAAACCTCTAAATTTATAGCCAACGATAGATGTTTGTTGAGAAAAATAAAATAACAATTTTTTTTTAATCTAAAAGGCATATTTTTAAAAATAATTGTCTTTACGAAGAAAAAAAAAGTCACAAAAAATAAAATCTTCATTTTTCATTTACACCAAAATAAAATACCCAACAATCACTATTCAATTCCCTCTTGCATTGCTACTTCAAAGCAAATGCTAATTATTTACATATATTGTACAAATACAATCAGGAAATTGAATTACTTGCATTTTGAAATTTCATGTCCATTCAGGCTGTAATTGTTTGAGTCAAAACAGGTAGTATATTTTATGAATACAATAATTATTAGGTAGAAAAGTGGGTAATAACAGAAGTAAAATTGTTAATATAAGTTTTTAACATATTGTATCTAATTACCGCATTTAGCGCAATTGATTTTCATTCAGTTAGCTTTCTGCTATTTAAGACATTCTGCAGAAAATGACCCATCTTGCTTTTCCAATTTCATTGTGTTTATTTATTACTTTCTCCGTTTCAAAATAAGTTTCATCTGAGCAAAAATCATATTTATTATCTGAGCAAGATTATGTTCAATAAGAAATCAATAAATATAATGTATAGTTTACTAAATTATCTCGATTTAATATATATTTCTTAAAAACTTAACACTATATATAAAGGTATAGTTAAAAAATTATAATTTTGACTTAAAATTTTTAAAATGACACTTATTAATTATAGAAGTAAACTTATGACATATATGTTTGAAATTTGGTCCGTTAGTCCAAAACTTTTTGATAAATAAATGAAAGTTTGGTTAGCGGTCCAAACTTCCAACATTTTATAAATGAAGTTTTATCACCTCTGATCTGTAAAATTGATGTGAACTAACATATAAATCAGTCAACATACTGAAACAATCAACTATTATTGAAAGAATTAAAGTTATGGACACCGTATAAAAATATTTATATAATTTAATTATTTAAAAGATAGTAGCCTATAACAATTTAAAATTATCGATGATATAGATTATAGACGAATTATTATATTTATTTTATCACTATGTACAGTCAAATTTTATTATGATAGTAGAGTTTATCTTTTCTGACATGCTAATTTAGATGTTGTTACATCTAATCGAGGAGTAGATATATGAACTCACAATTTATGTTTTTTGGTATTTTATTTCTATACAGAAAATTGAAATTTATATTTCAATTAACTGTTATGAAAAAAACCGCAAAAGAATTAGTTTAATAATTTTGTGTAGCAAAAAAAAAAAGAAATATATTTGTTAATCAATTTAATAATAATATAATTGTAGAAAAAAATAAATACCAATAATCTTTTCTCGTGAAGTTATGACTTATGATAATAATTGATGGACACCATTTAAATATAATTTTTTATTTCAGATATTCTGATTTAAA